TCTGAAGAATCAAATGACAGACTGATTCTTGAACCCAAAGCTTACATTACCCACCTCTGCCACCCTTGTCTTTTAAGCAAAAACTAAAACCAAATAGTAAATACTAACCCCACTGACACCAAAACTGTTTTTTCATCATTCTTTTTGAGTTCTTCATCATTCAGTTTTTTATCCAGGAAGTTCCCTCCTCAGCAGTATCTAACTACGATCTGTACTGAAGGTAACCAAAAAATAAAATGGGTTCATTCCAGACACCAATTGGAATGAGAAGCTCCACATTGCTAGAAACTTCATGTGGATTCCTGTTACAGGAACTGCAGGCAAGAAGCTCATTTATTTCATACGTCAAATATGTCTTCAGATAATTTCTGTTACATTTCATTTATTTTTTCCTCTCATGTCAAATGAATTTAGATAATATGGGAGGAAGTCGGAGAAGATAAGTTCGAGAGGGAGAAGGTTCTGCTGGATTTGGAGCAAGAGTGCCTTGAGGTTTACAGAAGAAAAGTTGACAGAGCAAATACATCTAGAGCTCGTCTGCATCAGGAATTGGCCGAAGCTGAGGCTGAATTTACCCACCTTCTTTTGTCCCTTGGTGAACGATCTCTACCTGGACGGGTACCTATTCCACTTAGCCATAGAGAGTTAGTAGTTAAACAATCAGAACCTGGAATAATAACAAGCATATAAGAACCTATTTCATATATGTAAAGCAAACCTCCATGTGATAATTGTGAGAAAGATGCTAGAAAATAGATTAACAAGAGTATCTTATTCTTAATTCTTAAATGTGATTAAAATTAAATAAATGTGTATGCTTCAACAAGACATCATGAATGAGTGTAGACTCAAAGACTGATGACAGTACTAACTGAACAGCCGGAGAAAAGGGCGGGTACACTAAAAGAGCAGCTAGATTCAATCACTCCAGCACTCCGGGAGATGCGCTTGAGGAAAGAAGAGAGGTTGAACCAATTCCGAGCTGTGCAAGGGCAAATTCAAAAAATTTCTGCAGAAATTGCTGGTAACTCGGACAATGCACCCTCAATCATTGTAGTAAACGAGAATGATCTTTCACTAAAAAGGCTTGAGGAGTATCAGAATGAGTTGCAAAGGCTCTACAATGAAAAGGTACCTAGAAGCAGTTTATGTTTTTTTACCCCCAACATTAAGGAGGTAGTATACTTCAAACTTAACATTTTCATATTACTTCTTGTGATTACATTTGAAGAATGAAAGACTCCAGCAAGTGGAGAAATACATGGACAAAATACACAGCTTGTCCACAATCTTGGGAAAGGATTCCTCTGCGATCATCATGGAAGTTCACCCAAGCTTGAATGATTTGTGTGGAATAACCAAAAATATAAGTGACACTATCCTGGATAAGCTCAATATCAAAGTGGAGTCCCTTTTTGAAGAAAAGCAAAATCGGCTGGATAAGGTGAAATAATAATATTGTTGTAGTTTTTACTTTTTATTTTTGGTTTAATAAAATACGTAAAAATTGAAAAACACACTTTCTCCCCTTTCTAAGGACTAAGGAGTTATCAAAACACATATACCTCCACTTCTTATAAGAGTGGCATAGCTATTTTTTCATCAAAATAAAAAATGACTTTCTGGATACAAAATAATAAAACATTACAATTCAACCCCAAAAGCTTAAGCTGCTGGATGAGATTATATTAATGGTTTTATATTTTTCTAATATATACCTTCACACGAGAGCCCACTAGGTTTGAAGGGCGGATGACACATCGGCCAAACCTATTTGTGCTAAGAAACTCCACAATATTTAATTATTTTTATTAATAGAATGGGACACTGAGAATCGAACTTGTGACCACTTGGTCACGGAGGCTTCTTTACAATGTAAAGAACCAATTCAACCCAAAAACTTAAGTTGTTGAAAGAAGCTATAGTAATGGTTTTATATTTTTGTCACAGTGACTCTAGGCCCAGACTAGAATGTATGTCATAGAGAGATTCTTCTGGGTTATGAGATTTACATACTAACCTGTCATGAGCCTGTTATAAATAACTGCTTCAGGTCCTTAAGCATCAAGTTTTGTGTTTTTCCCTTGATTTTTTAAGCTCTTCATTATACAAATTTGTCATATTCTAGATATGTTTTGCAGCTTCACCATTTAGGCAAAGCACTGTCAAAGCTATGGAATCTTATGGACACACCATACAATGATCGACTATCTTTTTCCCATGTAATCAATTTGTTGTCCGTCTCATCAGCAGAAGTATCAGATCCCGGAAGTCTTACTCTAGAAATAGTCCAGCGGGTAGGTGTCTAACTTAGATGATCTACAAAATATCAGAAACTTTCAGATATTTAAAAAACCTCAACTTTTTACAAGACTGAAGCCGAAGTCGAGAGACTGGATCAACTAAAAGCAAGCAAGATGAAGGAGCTATTCCAAAAGAAGCAGGAGGAACTTGAGTTGATATGCAAGAAATCACACGTGGAGATTCCTTCACGGACAGAGATGAACAATATAATTAGCCTCATAAACTCAGGTGAATCTAACTAACGTGGGTGTATTCCATTTTAAAAATGCATGTATACTTACTCTAAAATTAAACCACCCTAGAAATTGACTTACATGTACAAAAGGGGAGATTGACCATTCCGATCTCCTCATGAGCATGGATGAACAGATATCACGAGCAAAAGAAGAGGCTTCTAGCAGGAAGGCTATAATGGAGAAAGTTGAGAAGTGGATGTTAGCACGTGACGAGGAGCGCTGGCTAGAAGAATATAGCATGGTTAGAATTTTCATTTGAATTAACCTTGATAAAAAAGATTTAAAAAATGATTGTGTCTGTTATATGTTTCACAATCAATGTGTACTATCAGGATGAGAATAGATACTCAGTTAGCAGAGGAGCTCACAAAAATTTGAGACGTGCTGAACGTGCCCGTATAATGGTTAGCAGAATGCCAGGTATGTATAATGAGATCAAAACAATATAATTTGGACCAACTGGCAGCTAACCCACATGTGCTCAAATAAAATGGTTGCTGTTTCCAGATTTGGTAGATTTGCTAATAAAAATGACTAGGAGTTGGGAAGAAGAAAGAAAGAAAGTTTTCTTGTATGATCAGGTAAGATATCTTACACTCTGCAACACTTGGAATTCACTGTTCTTCATATATTAGAAAATATGTACATAAAAAGTGTATAGCAAACAGGCTAACTAATTCTTATAAGTGAACAAGAGAGAAGATTGTAAAAACACAGAGAAATACAGCATATTAAGAGAGGCCAAGTAAGTATTATGAGAAGATTCCCCTACATAATATATTCCTTGATGAGATAGTCCTAGACCCTGGTAAATATCTCAGGTACAGGTGACTCCCACGTGCTGAAGTATTCAAAGCAAAGACAGAACTAAATTCACAGAGCAAGCTACTGGTAACTAACTGATATCACATATGAAAGCACCGAAAACTTGTAGATGACATTCTCTGAATGGCTTACTTATACCAAAATAATAACGTCATTCAACATTGAACAAAATTTCTTTCACATATTAATAACATTTGAGAACATACTGTTGTAAATCAGACCTTACACTGCCATAGTTTCCTTTCTCATGTTCCGGTATATATGTTTCTTAATTGACCAGACCTTACCTTTTATCGTATGGTTCATTAAGTTGATAACAGCAAGCCAAAATGATATCTGCGCAGGTACCTCTAATGGAAATGTTGGAAGAATATAACATGCTAAGGCAAGAAAAGGAGGAGGATAAGAGAAGACAGCAGGTTAGTATTTGATACATAATATTATATTTGTTCAAATATATTAAATTCTTGTTCAAATTATATGATTCATGAAAACATTCTTGCAATATGAATTGTTATACCCCATGATAACCTTCTTCATACCTCGTCTCTTATGCTTGGTTTTAGTCATGGGAAAAGAAGAAGGTTCAGAGCAAAGTAGTAGCTGAGCGAGATAATACTTATGCTTCAAGACCAGGAACGAGCAGTAGACGTCTACCAAATAGAAGCTGGAATGGAGGTCTAGACAGTGTTGTGCCCCTGAACAGAAGGCTTTCTATGGGTATCCAACAACAGGGAGCAAACAGCATAAATTCAGGAAATCAAGGCATATCCTTCTTTAAGGATGGAAGGAAGGTACAAAGAAAAAAGATTTTTGGTGAACCTGGCTTTGCTGCTTATACAAGAGATGAGGCATCTTGTGTGGTGTCAACACAAAATGGACCATTTTCTCCGTAAATTTTTCTATCAGAAACATAGTTTTTGACTGAAAATACTTTAGAAAGCTTGCTTCCAAGAAAACTGTTGTGAACCTGTAAAAGAATAAATTCAAACTCATTACCCAGAGAAATTTTTAAGTACTCACGTTTTTGCTCTTGAATTGCCCGAATGGATGAGCTCATGCTTGTCAACTGCAAACAGATCAAGTTCTTGGTTCATTGCTTTATTTGCAATTTTGCATGATATGGGGTTTTTGCTTGCCCCAACTAAAAGAGAAACAGTTTTGCTGATTCATGCATTCGATCGAGTAAGAAGACCTGAATTTGATATCACTTTGAAAACCATAACAATTCCATGGAGTTACAAACATCATTAAATAAGGCACATAATAAGTATTGATACTATTTAGGAAATTCAAACTGTAAAATTCTACACAGTATAAAGGTTGAGTTTATAGATTAAAAAGTGATAGCATGACACCAGTTATATAACCCATAGGCAATCACCAACCAAATCTCACGAAACAGAATGGTTATGCAATATTTTCCAACTTCAAATGAGTAAACGAAAGCAACATTACTAGTTCAATAAACAAACAATAAAAAAGGATTGAATATGCTAACGATTATGTAGAAAAAAAGAGAGAGCAGATGCTTACTTTGCTTACAAATTAGAATCCCATCTTTTATCTAATACATTGTTGTCTCGGATTAAGATCATATACATATACAAATTGCAGAGTGCAAATAAACACAACCTAAGACTCATCTACGGGCACCGGCGCTTGGGCTTCAGCTTCTGGCTTTCGGAAGAAATTATCGATGCGGCGAGTACCAGCCGGAGCGGGCTTATCGGGTTTGGCCCGATCCATATCAGGCTTATCGGATTTAGCGGGCTGAGAAGGTAGCGGAAGCGAATCGAGGAGAAAATCACTGGTTGGCTGGTGCCTCTTCACAGCGATTCTTATATGCTCGAGCTTCACGGTCTTGCGTTTCTTCTCAATGGCAACACGCGCTGACTTTTCAGCCAGAAATTGTAGGAACAGCTCCGTGGAGCTCGACACCAGGAACAACGCTTCTGAACTCACCCTCTCCACGTCCTTGTCCAGCCTCATTATCTTCTTCACTCGACCATTTGGGAATTCGGGTCGAATCGACACTGCGTTCTCTTCTTCCTCCGCCATAACCATAACCATCACCTCTTTCTCTTTCTTCTTTTCCCTTTTTTAAATAGTTAGGGTTTCAAATTGGCGGGAACGGTAAGAGAAATAAGGGCATTATCGTCATATCAACCTAACCCTTCCCGCCATTCGTTTTCGGGCTTTTTATTTTTTAGCCCAGGCCCATATTTTGGAATTTTCAGCCCAGGCCCAAATATTTCTCCTTCCCCTTGTTAACTAGAGTTGTTACTTGTTAGTGTTTGCGGCAAGGTTGCAGATTTCATTTAACATTTTACAATCACAGAAGAAAATGGAGTTTTCTCAGAGTGACTTTGATCGGTTACTGTTATTCGAGCACGCGCGAAAAACCGCAGAAGTAAACTACGCAGAGAACCCTCTTGACGCTGATGTACGTATCTTTCTTCATTCTAACCTAATCCCACTTCCGTATCACTTATATATCTATGAGTTATTTTACTTATACATTAGCTGTTTCAGAATTTATGAATGTTTCTTTTATAATTTGTGAAATAATTATCAAAGTTCTGTAACTTATGAAACTGTTTCTGATTTTTTTTTTTTGTATTTGTATTTGTTATTAGTCTGTGTCCCATTACAACATGGAAATGTTGCTGCTTGGAGTTATGCATTTTTTATTTAGTTTTTTTAGTTTTTCAACGGGTTCATTCTTCGAACTACATTGGGTTCGAGCACCTATGGAACCCTATTGAAAAGAGCTGCTTTACAAAATCCTTTTTTCCATTCGAGGCTCGATTCGAGCCCTAAAAGGTAGGATGTGTAAAATAATCAAAAAATTGAACCGAACAATAAACCGTTCTTAAAATAACCGGTTTTTAAAAATCAGTTCATGAACCAAACTGATTTTTTAGAATCAGTTTAAGAATCGAACCGTTTTCTAACCGAACCAAATTTATTTTTATAACTTTATTTTTTTAATTTTTAATTTTTAATTTTTTTTCTTTTCAAAATAGGGTCTACCCGAACAGGTTCCGATCTGAACCGTTTCTATTCGAACCGAACCATTTAAACCAATTCGATTCGGTTTTTCAAAAAAATTGGTTCGGTTCGACCCATGCACATCCCTACTCAAAGGGCCCAGAATCCTTACGTAGGGTGTTTGGTGGAGTTATGCACTTTTTAAACCTTGTAGTTTAGAAAAGAGCTTAGGTTCATTTTACTTGTTATGCATTTCATTCTTCTTTTTCTGAACATGTATTCATACAGAATCTGACCAAATGGGGGGGAGCATTGATCGAGTTGTCAGCTTTCCAAAATCCTAGGGATTCCAAGAAGATGGTTGATGGTATATGACGTGTTAAATTGAGCTAAATTATAAAGTGAATTTCTCTTTTGCAAAGGGAGAGTTATGGTGATTGATTATTTTGGGTTTTTGATGGGAACCAACTAACTAAACAGATGCCATTTCAAAGTTAGAGGAGGCTTTACTAATCAATCCAACAAAGCATGACACTCTTTGGTGCTTGGGAAATGCCAACACGTCTTGTGCATTTCTGACTCCTGATATCAGTGACGCAAAGGGTTATTTTGACAAGGCATTTGAGTATTTTCAGAAAGCTGTGGACGAGGTAATGTATTTGCTCTGTTCTTTTTGGTGTATTCTTTCATGCTGCCCTTGTAAATCTAGAAGTTACTTAGTGGTGGATTCTGAAATTGTAGGATCCTGAGAATGATCTCTATAGAAAGTCCTTGGAAGTTGCTGTTAAGGTAATGGAATTGCTATGGCCTTTGTATCAATATTATTTGTGCACTTGATTTTCTTCTCATGTTCAAAGTTTTGCTAACAAAATGATCAAATGAGCTACAACTAACTTGTCTACTCTGGTTTTTAGCTGAAAATGTTAGTTTTTTCATGGTTGATGGGAGCACAGCTTGCTGAGAGTATTTTAGTTTAAATTAGTTAACTATCAGTCTTAATGTTTCTATTGTTTACTGTACGAGGTTTTACTGTTTTATTGACTGATTCAGATTCTGTTGTTTAATATTCAGTAAGTCTTATGAATGACTAAAACAATGAAAAATATATTTGGAGTGTTTGTTCTCTAAGTCTCAACGCCCACTATACCAGATATCTAAGATTTTATTTACTGTTAATGTGTTAAACTATGGGGAGAAGGTTAATTGATATTAAAGCAATCAAAATTAGATTGGAGACAGCAAATTTGCCTTGGGACTTGGTATGAGTGAAAGCAGAGTTTTTTTTTTTTTTTTTACTTGTCATTGCCACTCATCTGTATTTTTGGTATTCATTTGGTTCATTATGGATGTTGAAAATTGTTCTTGTGATGCCACAACCTTTATTCACATGCTTAATAAGTCTTATTGGAGAGCAATTTCAGTATTTTTTACATAAACAAGTTTAAATTCTTTCTATATGCATTTGGGGTTACTGCTTACTGATTCCTTATTCTTTCTGTTAATATTATATGTAACTTGTTCACCCTTTTATCTTTTCTACTTTGATGAGTCACTGTGAACCATGCCTCATAGGCTCCAGAACTACACATGGAGATCCACAAAAATGGGCTTGGTCAGATGAGTATTGATGGATCCTCTGCTTCTTCAAAAGGAAAGGTTGGATTTACTGAAATTTCATTGCATGCAATTCTTATTCAATTAGTCATGTTCTCACAAATACTAACTGCTGACTTCAAATCAACTACAACCTGCCATGTCAAGTTTATGAAGGTGGTTTTTGAAAATTTTAAAATGCTAAAAGGTAAAAGCAGCTCAAATGAATTAGCTAACTATGGTTGGCCATTTGGCTGCCTGTGATAATATGGTAATAATTAGGTTCTGTATTAGCAAACAAGTCGCGTTCGCAAGCTTGGTGGATCAATATGCAGTGATCTTTTTTTTACTCAAATAGTTATTCTCCTTCTGTTACTTAGATCATAAGTACTGGGGTTGGCCAGTTGAATATTGAAGATATAACTTACTAAAAAAATATAGATAACAAGCTTTGCTGTCCTTTGAACTGCTCATCTTCTACATTATCTTGCCATATTTTTGGACGTTGAAAAATGATGAAAGTAGTCTTGTGCGATTGGATTGTTTGAAAGAGTTATTCATGCTTATTTTTTAAGAAAGTATATGTATTCCATCATCTATAATAAAGAGAATGTTATTTCTGATATTCAGTCTGTAGATAATTGATGCATATCTGCTTTAGCTTGTTACAGAGGAACTTAATGCGTCATTGTTTTGTTCATTTCAGGAATCTAAAATGCAGAAGAGCAATGACCTTAAGTATGACATTTTTGGATGGATTATTCTTGCAGTAGGTATAGTAGCATGGGTGGGAATGGCCAAATCTCAGATTCCACCACCACCTCCAAGATAAACATTTTATCTCTTTAATGTGTCGTTACCAAAACTATTGTTGAAAGATTATTCACTTTAGATTAGAAGTAGTGAATTAGGTGTTGCATTTATGTTGTAGGCATGGTGACTTCATTTATCATTTCGCCTTTCTTTTACAGTGGAAAGTTTGATTTTTAAGAATTAGCTTTTTAAAATATGTTGTGGGTACCAATACTTGTTTGTAATTTTGTATGACTCGTTAGCCTCCGAATTCTCAACTTCACTACTTTTTGGTGGTATTGTTTTTTCCAGTGTTGTAAAAATGTAGTGTCGAAACGTAAAAACGGACCGTGTCTATGTTTTTATGACCAAAATCGAGTCAAAACGGTAGTTGAAACGGGTTTTGAGTTGAAACGGTTCAAACATAGTGTCGAAACGTAGAAACGATTCAAACGTAGTGTCGAAATGTAATATGAATTTTTTTTTGTATAGTTCATATTTATATATATATATATATATAATAAAAAAAATTATATATATTTTTAGTCATTAATTAGCTTAAATTTAATAACTTATATAATTAATACAATAAAATTATTCTATATAAATTAAAACAAAGATTAAAATTGACATTCTTATAAAATAAAAATGTTTGTGGGTTTTGGTATTATATATGTTGGATATATATTTTATTTTTAATACGTTAGTAAAGTTTTACATTTCGTTTACGTTTTGCAATTTTATGTTTTTGCTCACCTCTACTGTTTTTACATAGACTCTACGTCTTAACAACATTGGTTTTTTCTTATCTCGAAGGTTCTGATTGATGAAGTAGACGTAGTTATGATTTTGATCTCCTTGATCTGTGTTTTGTGTGAACTAGCTATGAATCATACGCGTGCATAAAAGGCAAAACATAGGATTAGATAGGAAACATTGTGGAAAAAATTGTGAAAGTGAAAAGAAAAATTGGTATGTTTGTTTATTTCCATGCCCTCTGTTTAATATTAGTTTATTTGGAAAACATATCCATGGCAACGTATTAAAAAAAAAAACACTATGAACAAAAAGTGAGTTGAAAAACGTCTCTGTTTCTTTATTAATTAATAGTATAGTACATATTCGCTTATAATTTTCTTTTAGAGAGTATTTGAACGCGTATGTTGTGGCAGATTTGCAGATTTGTCTTTTATGGAATCTGCAACTTTTTGTTGCATGCAATGGCTATTCTTTTTCAAGCCCTTTGGCACCGTCGAATAACATAGTTGCCTCGGGTACCCTATCTCAGCAATGACTATTTCTGGATAATATAAACCAACGGACAACGGTACAGGAGAATAATATGCCACCAATCTTCAGTTTATTTTATATCCGTTGATCAGATTTATTTATATTTTTATGGATGAGGAATCGGGTTTGTTAATCATTAATACCATAAACACGGTAAGAAATAGGTATTTCTCTTAGTCGGTTGAAATAGTTTTAAAAGGTATAACATGTCTGAATCTGAAGAAAGGGTGTTCAAAACAGGATTTGGATCCTCCTTTTTTCTTTTAACTTGCTAAGGAATTATCGGACAAGGTCCTTTAAAGAGAGGGGTAGGCAATTTTGTATCATAAGTTAGTGAGTTTTACATAAGATGGGCAGATTTTGCTAACATAAAATCTGTGTCTTTCTATCTCGCAAGAGTTTCTTCTCGTAAGTAAAAGTAACGTATTTAACATTTTTTTTTAATGATAACCACACTCATGGTTGCAAGTTCCACTACTTTCTTGTAAGTAAGAATAATTGTTGAGGTGTCATGTGTATATTGGTCACCTCGCCATCGGAGAAATTACTCTGAAAAGGCCTTGTATAATGGCCACTAACATACTCATTGGAATTAGAGTACGTGTCTAGATGCTCCTATGACATATAAAATTAAATCAAAAGTTGGTCTAAAGAATATGTACAAAAAAACAAAAACAAAAAAGTTGGTCTAAAGAAGACTCCACTTTTCTTCCAAGGGTTTCTCCCGAATTGCAAGCAATAATTTTCTTTTTGCATCTTCGGACTACTGCAAAGACAATCTGCTTTATTTGCATTTGTATTTTAGTAAATCTTTGGTTCACTCCTTCTGGTTGGATCTACGTAAATGGTCCTCCCCTTGAGCCTAGGGTTTAATAATTATAATCACCTCATGTACCCATTGATTCGGTGCTTTCATCCAAATGCTGTATTGTTAGTGGGAATTCTAATGTTATATATAATGTATATGGGATATGATCATCTTAATAATAAGTCTTATACTAAATCTTAACTGTTGATTTTCTGCATCTAACGGTTAAGATTTATTAAGTCTCACTCATTAATTAATTTTTAATTCTCAATAAATCTCAGCCGTTGGATGTAAAAAAATCATCGATTAAAATTTAGAGTAAGACTTATTATTCTTACACTGGTGTAAGATTAATGTATTTATATATTTTCATCTATGCTTTCTGAAAGGAACCATCAATTCTATACTAACAATAGCACCTAGATTCATAGGCGAGGAGGCGGCTAAGCGGTTTTCCTCGTGCGTATTCTGAATCGTTCGATCATAATTATATTACATAATAATGACAAATGACTTTATTAGTATTTTTAATGACTTCTTCAAAAAATATTATTATGTTCTAGCGATTTTACATTTTATTTTAAATGCAAATAAATAAAAATATATTTAATTAATTTACATACAATTATTTAATTAAGTTTGTTAACAAAATATAATTAAAAATAGCAAAGACATTTACAATATCCTTTTTCAGAATCCGAAATATTTTAGGAAGCGCCAAACCACATCAAAGATATATATTCGATATTGTTGTTAGCTCCAAAGCACCGATACGCGATTTTGTGAAAAATTTGTGTGTCGGACACGTTCGGACACGCATCCGACGCGTCTGACACGCGGTTAATATTTGGGGACACGCGGTTAACTCTTCGACATGTCCTGACACGTTTTTTTGACATGCAGTCAACTTTTTTCCGACACACGGTCAACGCTAAGACACGCTCAGACACGGTTTTTTTTTTAATCTTAATTTTATTTTGTTAACTAAATATAAAAGAAATAATTTATAAATTAATTTTTTTCTGTTATGAAATTTGACATGAAAAATTAACAAAATACGAAAAATTATTTATATTTATATTTATATTTATGTTATGAAATTTAAATATTTGATTGGTTACATAACTTATTATAGACTCTTATATGTATTAAATATAAATTATATTATATATATTAAAAATTTTATTTAATATCAAAACGTGTCTCAACATGTCGAAATATAATATTTTTTAGAATTAACGTGTCGGCGTGTCGTGTCGTGTCCCGGTGTCCGTGCATGTTGTTAGTGGATTGGACACTTTCCTCCTTCATTCGTGCCCGTTCCCATTCTCGGAAGAAGAAAGGTTCCATTAGATTATATATGATTTGTTTGCATCTATATTGGGGATCCTACCAATTATAATTAAATAACAACGTAGAACTGATGGGACTATATATATATATATAGGGGATATTTTTTCTGCAGCCGTCGTAGGGAGTGTTATCTGCAGTTTGACATAGAAAAATGGGTTCCACAGCTTTTTTTCTTTAAAAAAAAAAAACCAGGATCCAGTTCCGTATTCTAAGATCCGGTGCCGTATCCTGACTTGCTGCATGTGCAGCGGCTGCAGAAATCATTTTGCCATATATATATATATATATATATGTGAATTGCATTTTCACATACAACATGAGAGGAGCTTTTCTCCTACACATACAATCAAGTGGGCCCACTAATTTAAATAAAAAAAGAAAATGAAAGAAAATATTAATACAGAAATCGAGTTCTCACTAACACGAGAGAAAGCTATTCCTAGAGATTTATTTATCCCTATATATATATATATATATATATATATATATATATATATATATATATCATTTACTAAGCAACTTATTCTCTCCCTTACATTGAATCACCCAATGTTAGTGTTAGACTTTATAAATGAAAAAATGTTTTAACATATAATTAATGTCGAGTAAGCTTTTTATACATGTTTCAACGTCAAAAGACTTTTACCTATATTTAATCAGCATTCACCAAATTACTTAAGCTAATTAGAGTTTTTGATCTCTATCATCCCTATTTTTTAAAATAATTAAATATAAATTTTGCCTAAAGAAATCATTTGACGAGGGGTATATAAAAAATGAAAAAAATATTTGTCCTTTCAAATTAATGATATAACTTTTGTTATTTCACTATCATAAAGAGGTGGTGAGATCTACACATTTATTTTATTTTATTTTTATCCACTTTCTCTATGATCTATTTATTTTTCTCATATTAAATGACACAACTTTACATTTTTAAAATAACTGCGTTTTTCCATAAAAAAATGAATTTTGAATTTCCACTACACTGCTCTTGCTTAAAGTTTGAGGCAGAGTATGTCTTGACAAAAACCGCGAGACACGTATAATTTAGGTCATTCCAAATGCGATGACTTTGTGGATATGTGTTCACACACAGAGCTGGCACGAGTTTACAGAGAAAGAGCGAGACACGGACTAAAATGTCACCCTTTGACAAAAAAAATTATCAGAATGACATGCGAACAATAAAATTTTCCAAACTGTCACGCAGTATAATTCGCTTCACAGTGTAGCGAATTATGTATGCAAGTAATTCGCTACACAGTATTGCAAAATATGCCACATCAGAATGCACAGAACCAAAAAGTGTCATGGGTCAAAATGTTGAAATTCGCTACATAGCACTTTTGACACATGGCACTTTTTGGTTCTGACGTGGCATATTTCGCTACACTGTGTAGTGAATTATTTACATGCATAATTCGCTACACTGTGTAGCGAATTATGCCACGTGGCAATTTGGAAAATTTTACTGTTCACGTAACATTCTGATAATTTTTTTGTCAAAACGTGACAAAATGATCATTCTCCCGAGAAAGAGCTCTTTTGTACTACCGGTGTAATTGGATCGAGTTTAGAGAATGGATTGAATCCAGCATATTAAAAACTTTTGGTTCGTTTTGGTTTTGAGAATATTTTTTATATTTTGTTATGGAAATTGTTCTTGGGCAGAATATCACACATAATAAATCTCAAATGTAAAATTTGACTCAATCTATAAATAAATAAATAAATACATGGACAGCGCGGTGATCTGACACTTGCATAAAGTAACATGTTATAGTGCAACTTCTTATAATTTAGAATAATTAACGTCACTATTTAACGTCATAGCCCTTACCACTTGATGTGCAAGTGCTTAATTAAAGCAACACCGATCAAAATGTCTTGACAAAAAATTTATCTAAATATCACGTATACTTTTTATCATACTGTCACTTGGGCATAATTTGCTACGACTAATAACGAATTATGTTCGCTAATAATTTTATAACACGTGACACACTTTTGTAGGAAAAGACTGACATGTCATAATTCGCTATTAGTGATAGCAAATTTAGTCTGCAATATAGACACGTGTCACAAAATTATTGGCCATAAAATTCGCTATCATGTAGCGAATTATGACAAATAGCAGTCTTTTAAAAAATACTATTTGCGTGAAATTTTGATAAAAAATTTAACAAAAAATGGCACTTTCATCGGTGTTACTTAATTAACCATGGGTATCTAAGTAGTCATAGATTCATAACCTGAGCCACTTTCCAAGTTCTATATATACACTTATCACCCCACACGTTGTATCCCAAACATAAATCCCACTTCAACATTCTTTCCCTCCTTATCATCATGATTCCAACACTTGTTTCTTCTTGTTCTTGGTCACTTGTTACTCTCTTTCTCTCCACTTTCCTACCCCTCCTCGCTATCTCCCTTAACTACTGGCTTGTTCCCGGAGGTTATGCTTGGAGGAATTATTACAACCGTTACAAAAAACACTACTACACAAAACTCCCTGGTCCTATAGGGTGGCCCATACTAGGTACTTTACCTGAGATGGGTTCTCTGGCTCACAGAAAACTCGCTACCATGGCTAATTCACTCAACGCGAAGAGACTCATGGTGCTGAGTTTGGGAACAAACCCTGTTGTTATCAGTAGCCACCCTGACACTGCGAGAGATATTCTATATGGTTCATCCTTCTCTGACCGTCCTGTCAAAGAATCAGCACGTGTTCTCATGTTTGAGCGTGCCATTGGTTTCGCTCCTTATGGGAATTATTGGCGCCATCTTCGTAAGGTTGCAACCACCCACATGTTCTCTCCGAGGGTCATTTCCGGCTTGGAGAGCCTTCGGCAACATGTGGCTGCTGAAATGGTGATGAGAACGTTGAAGGAGATGGGAGACAAAGGTGTAGTTGAAGTTCGAGGGATATTGCATGAAGGGTCTCTAAGCAATGTTTTGGAGAGTGTGTTTGGTACTAATAATTCTTCTATGAGTTCGGAAACGAAGGATGTGTTGAGTGATATGGTTAAGGAAGGTTATGACTTGATTGGAAAGTTTAATTGGGAAGACTATTTTCCTTTCAAATTTTTGGACTTTCATGGTGTGAAGAGAAGGTGTCACAATTTGGCGGCTAAGGTCAATGACGTGGTGGGTCAAATTGTGGAAGAAAGAAAAAGATGTGGTGAGTTCGTTGGACAGAATGATTTTCTTAGCGCTTTGTTATCGTTGCCCCATGAGGAAAGGTTATGTGATTCGGATATAGTGGCTATTTTGTGGGTAAGTACTGCATCTCTCTTTTTTTTCTTTTTTTTTTCTGCCAAGCACACCCACCTACCCCTTGATATATAAGTAATAATACGATAGAAGCACCCTTTTCTAAAGTTGCACCAATCCCTTAAAATAAAGACTAGCTAATAGACAATAACTTGATTATCATATTATGACATGTTAACATGTGTAAATTTCATTAAACAGAAATACACTAGGTAGAAGATAAACTCTCGAATAGGAGCTACTTCGTTATCAATATTCTTATTAGTTAAAGCTCAACTTCAATCTTTGGGAGGAGCTTAAACCCTTAATACTGAATCTATCACGAATACTATTGCTTCATATATGTGGTTTATAAAAAAAAATCAACTTAAATCATCATTGTAGTAGTTTCTTTGTGCATATAGTGATATATATTAATTAAAGCCTTACTCTCTCTACGTGTTTTGTGCAGGAAATGATATTTAGAGGAACAGACACGGTTGCTATGCTCCTCGAATGGATTATGGCCATGATGGTGTTACACCAAGACATTCAAATGAAAGCCCGCCAAGAGATTGACACGTGCGTCGGCCTAAACGGTCACGTGCGAGACTCAGACATTCCAAACCTTCCTTACCTCCAAGCCATAGTCAAGGAAGTTCTACGGTTGCACCCACCGGGCCCATTATTGTCATGGGCTCGTCTTGCAATCCATGATGTCCACGTGGACAAGGTCATGGTCCCAGCTGGCACGACAGCGATGGTTAACATGTGGGCCATAACACATGACTCTTCCATCTGGGATGACCCATGGGCCTTTAAGCCCGAACGGTTCATGAAAGAAGATGTATCTATAATGGGGTCAGACCTGAGACTCGCACCATTCGGTGCAGGACGTAGGGTTTGCCCGGGAAAAGCGTTGGGCTTAGCTACGGTTCATCTTTGGCTTGCAAAGCTTCTACAACATTTCATATGGCTTCCAGTGAAGCCTGTGGATCTTTCAGAATGCCTCAAGCTCTCCCTCGAAATGAAAAAACCTTTACGATGCCAAGTTATTTGTAGACGCATAACACCGTAAGCTCTTGAACTCAACTACGTAAAATGATCAATAAAAAATGAAGAAGTATCCGTTTACAATTTTTTTTATAAATTATATTAAAAATAACGAGTCATACATTCTTGATTGAAGTATGATCAGTCATACTTAATATAGTTTATAAACAAAAAAATTGAAAATATAACATTTCTTATCTTTTCCGTAGAGAATATCAATATCGTCATATCTATGTGCCTTGAAAGAAAAAATATATGATCTTTGGTTGTGGTGGAAAGTCGTGTAATGTTGTAAAATATTATTAATAAGTACATATAGTACGAGTTGAGTTCGAGAAAGTCCATGAAATGGAGCTAAGTAGTCAAATGAGAAGAGACTGTCTCTCTTTAAAACTCTACAATGTACATTATTGAATCTAATGAAGTTGCTTTTGTATCTCTTCTATTTTTCACCCTTCGTTTAGGTTCGCATCTTATTTCACAAGCCATTGGTTAAAAACCCTTCGCAGCCTGTAGTATGAATTATAAATATGAATATCATTTCGAATAATCGTACACTTTAGACACGGCACATCATTCGAACTATTCAAAATCCTCATGTGCAGGCAATTATAATATGAAATAATATTTGCACGATTATGGATTGGCACAGTGCATAATAGATATGGCATGTTTATAAACATAAAAAATAGAAGGACATTTTATCAAAATAACTTTCCACAAAAAAAAAAGGCAACATCATAGTACTTAGGTTTTGCTAGCGATTTCCCACCTCTAATGATAGAAGATTATTTTATATATAATATGACAAACGCTTATTGATAGAATTATCTCTTAAATCTATGTAACTACGTACCAATTCTAACTTTGTAACTATTTGTGCTACCAAAAAAACTATCACACTATCTTCAGTTGTCTTGGCTAGCTTGGCTTTGTTTTATTTTTTTTCCTTGTGCTTTTCTTCCCTTATGCATCTTTTGGCGGGCCGGAATTTTACACCCTTTCTGATTATTATAAGTTTATAACTAATACAATAGCTGAAATATATCCGTCAAATTGTATTTTTAATTTTATTTCTTATTATGATATAAATATATAACATTAATAAAGGGCATTTGATGTTAAATATGCTTTTTGAATAAGTAAATGTATTTGTATTTTTTTAAAAATCATTCACTTTTATCCGTTTTATATTTATTTTCAAATCTTTGAACGAAATCAATAATCAAACAACTAAAAAATAAAGTCATTAAGATTGGTCTAGTGGTGATTTTGGGTAATTTGCATGAGATCATAAGTTCAAATCTCAGTGTCACCATTATATCAAAAAAAAAAAAAAATAGAGGACCAAAATAGAGAATCCCTTTATATAATTAGTAGTTTTAATTATAAATGGGTCAGCAATTTTAGTTTAATTTAAACAAATTCTCATTTTAGAGATATCTCAGGGCGTTGGTTGGGGGGTTTTGCTTACAACATCGAAATATGCCACGTATATAAAGCAGAACTGTGGGGAGTCCTCAAGGGATTGGAAGCAGCATGGTCTAAGGGTTAGAAAAAATTATTCTCGAAAGTGATTCTAGCAGTGTAATCACTATGCTCACTAAAAAAGGTGATGCAGCTCTTGAGTCTCACCTCTTGACTCATATAAGGGCATGGCTTTCAAAGGACTGGCAGATCCGTGCAATTCACACTTTCAGAGAAGGTAATTCTTGTGCGGATTGACTAGCTAACTTGGGTGTTGATCATAGGGAGCTTGCCAATTTCATGTGGTTTGAAGACCCTCCTCCTGGTATTAGTCTCTTGCTTCAAGCTGATATGGCCGGTTGCAGTAGGCCCCGTAGAGTTTCATTAATTTTAGATTTGTTTTTTTTGTTTTTTTTTTCCTTCTTTGTTGGGGCTTCGCCCTTCCTTCTACCAAAAAAACAAAAACAAATTCTCATGGTTACAGTTAACTTCTAAAAATATTTAACACAAATATTAGCTTATTAAACTCATTAAATGTTACCAAAGAAATATTATACTTATTACCAATTGGATAAAAAAGAATTATTGCAACAGTTTTCTTTAGAAATGAAATCCAATAAAATCATTTTGGTGGGAATTTTGGGAATGCGAATTTTCCAAGTCATTAGATTCTTCAAGTCGTTTGCAATAATTTTTAGGGAAAAGTTCACCAATGCCCCTGTGGTTTGCTTCAGAATCATTTATACCCTTGTGGTTTTTTTCCTATCACATATGCCCCTGTGCTTTGTAAAAAATAAGAAACCATAGGGGTATATGTGATAAAAAACATACCCTTTTACAAACCACAGGGGCATATGTGATAAGAAAAAAACCACATGGGCATAAGTGATTTTGAAGTAAACCACAGGGGCGTTGGTGAACTTTTCCCTAATTTTTAAGATTTACAACACGATTAGATTCTGGTGTTTTCGACAAAACTAGTTCCTTTAAGAAGATTATATATAGTACGATAATTAAGGCGTGTCCCCAAAGTTTTGGCTTTTATTATCCAAATCAACCTGCTTTTTTCTTAGTCTCCGACATAACGAAAGGGCAAAATCGTTTATACTTTTGAAGCACATATATTTCCAACTAACATGTTAATGCGCCAAGACATTATACTCTTTAAGTACAGGTGTGCCATATATTTTAAGATTTATAACATGATTAGATTCTGCTGCTTTACACAAAACTAGTTTCTTTAAGGTAATTATATTAAAGACATTAAAGGCATATATATATATATATATATATGTCCCCAAAGTTTTGGCTTTTTCACGTTCAAATCAACATGCTTTTTTCCTAGTCTCCTACAGAACGAAAGGGCAAAACCCTTTATACTTATGAAGCACATATATGCTCATTCTTCCAATTATAACATGTTAATGCTCCACAAATCTACTATCTCATTGAATTGGGGTCCCCTGAGCTCGTTTGGTTACTCCCAACTATCGCAGGTATAATTGCACGTATACTAATCACTTTCTCAGCTTGAGAAAAAAAAATATTCAAATAAATCTCGATTATTATAATTTATAGTATATTTATATATCACTATTATAAAATCTTGTACTACATGTATGATTCGTTTTAGAGATCATTCCAAAGATATAGTGACCAATGTTACGCAATAAAATTCGAATGGTTAAAATTGCAAGCTGACATCTTAGTGCATGCGCCTCATTAGGCCAAAGCTACAATATCATATTGCGATCATGGAATATACTGGCAAAACTCATAAACCCCTTACTACTTTTAACGATAAATAATCGCTTTCTGACTTAACATGTGAATAAGCTAACTACTTGCACAATTTGGATAACTACCGATCGATACAGTCATATATCACCTAATAATGAGAAAAAAGTATGTTTAAAAGTTCAATTATTGTAATTCCTTAATTGTATAAGTTAATCTAAAGATTCCCCCACATAGATTATCCTGGCATACATACACACACACACATATATATATATATATATATATGGGACAGGATATTCTTACACCGGTGTAAAAGTTAGAAGTATTACCCTCAATCTTGACCATTGACCACTTGTATCCAATGGCTCACATTACTAAAAAATTTGAGCCCATAGATATAAGTGGGATCAACGGACAAGATTAAGAGTGTAACTTACACTGGTGTAAAATGATCCTGACCCTATATATATATATATATATATATATATATATAGAAAACCATTTTCAAAAAAAAAAAATTCTCCTACTAGTGACTTATAGCATAAGTAAGTCTCACCTTGAATTTTTCTCTCTCTCCACTATTTTGTAAACCCCACTTATACTATAAATCTCTAATAGGAGAAAATATTTTCAATATATATATATATATAAAGAAAGTAAGACATGCACCACAATACTCAATTAACGTAGGCTCGAACTAAGAAAAGTATTTCAGCCCAAATATGTCAATTAGGTGAACAAAAAAAAAAATTGTGAACAACGACTGAAGGGCTAATTAAGTTCAACTGGGCTTTAAATTCCCGTATTATGGAGACGATTACAACTCAACTTTTTGGATTAGAGGTGTTGGCTTTGGCCTGATTTCGGATAGACACTTCTTTTGTTAGGCCTTGTTGCCGTGTTTTAATTTTTACGGAAAACTTCAATTTCATGTAGTGTAGTTATCATGATTCTTAAGGTTATAAATTTATGATTTAGACTTTAGACTAATTGTTGTCAGATATAATGTATCATTTAGTTTTCTAAATGCCAAAAAGAGATTTATTATATAAGAAAAAAATGTGTGTCATTTTAAATGATATAAAATTGTATCATTTTAAGTGAGAGAAATAGTAGATCATGGGAAGAGAGAGTGAACAAAAAAATAAAGGTATGGGTCTCACCTCTTTGTGAGAGTGAAATGACACAAGTTGTGTCATTTAAAAGGACAAACATTTTTCTCATTAATAAACAAATTATTGAATTGAAAATAAAACATAAAAAACTCAAATTAAAAACAAAACCTTAAAACAACACAAAATTTTATCTTTTACAATTTCAATACATTGATTTGTAGGAACATATGGATTGTAAAACAAAATTAAACAATAAAAAATTATAAACTTTATATGAAGGAAGCAAAACAAAACAACATATACTTTTAACAAAGTAATACAATTATATCTAAATTAAGAATAAATTGTTTTTATTTTTATTATTGTGTTGGAAGCTCTCTCAGAAAGGGAAGGGAATGATCATATCAACATAGAAAAGTAGTTGAGTGATGAACTTGATCTTGAAGAATTTGTTTTGCTAAAAAACAAAGCAATTCAGATGGTTTGTCCTCCTAAACAGGTATCTATTATTGAATTCACTCAACCTGAGAGTACAATATCTATTTTATTTTGGGAACATTACGTGTCAAAGTCATTGAATGGGTAAGTTGTCAATACCTAAAATAGTCTGTATAATATATTTTATCCATTGGGTTATCAATGAGCATTTTACCATATGGTTCTATTAGTTCAGTCCAAATCTCCAAATGGTAGAAACCT